TAGATGCAACTGTATCCCCAATCCTTCTTATCTTTTATTTGTAATTGGGGTCGGAATCATTATTGCGGCGATTATTCTCGATCGAACGTTAGGTTCTCTCCCGGCAAATTGGCCGTGTATTAATGGAGACCCGGGGCCTGGCTACACTCGGATAGATTTTCTCGCGGTGCAGCCGCAAATGATCTTTTTATAACGGGAAAAATTGTGTCAGGTCACAGAGGAGCGTGTATTCCGAGAAATGGCGTGGAACGTGTATTCCATTACAATTTTAGACACTTGTGGCTCGATCAGCGGATTGATATGGACACTCATTGACCAATTCCTCTAAAACGATGTTTTCATTCCAACTTAAAATGTAAAAATACTGATTAGAAAAGATGACGGCGTCTCGCGCTTCCGCCATAACAGCGAGCGTGGGTAAACAGGAAAAGAGTTAAAAACTTAGATTTATGACGGAATATAAAAGAGCGAGTGTCAAAAATATTAAATATCAATCTGATGATCCGACAATGTTCGCGCGTGCGTGTCGATAAAAATATGAAGAATCGGTTCTCTTGCAAAAACTCGTTCAACGTCCGCGTAAACTGCGACAATGTCGTTCTTCAATGTTTTGCAAAATATCATCTCAGTTGCGCATCTTATATGCTTGCCTAATTATTCCGCATTACCGTTCAAAGGATCACAATTGCAATTGGATTCTCTCCCACGTCTCTCGCTCCACTTGTTCCTGCGCCGCGACCTTTATTGCGCAGAGGGTGACATCAACCCGGATTCGTCGGATTAGATATAACCCGTCGCGACGTGGTGGTCGAGAAATAAAGTATTTTTCATTGCCGGGACGGAAGCCGCCATAAACCGGGCCATAAACTGACTTTACGTCTCGCCGTACCGCACCGTCAAAACAGATCTATGAAGCAAATATGGCTTTTCAGAAGTGCGCCCGTCCCATCGTATCTTTGGCGGAATATCGAGAAAGTGGGATCCACACATCTGTCGGGGGCGGAGGTCGCGTTCGTTAATGTCCCCGTAACGACGGCGGCGGGAGGAGAGGGGAAGGTATACGATTTTCTCTCGCATTAGCTCGTAAACAGTGCATCGGCATCAGCTGCTTGCCAAATTTAGCGAGCAGTCATCGACTTCTTTATCAACTCCGTCACTTCTCCGTCCTCCACGCCTACCGTCGATCCGCACTAATTGTGTTTAGCCGGAATAAGTTTAACGAGGGCCACCTTTCCACTCGACCGTGGAGTGCTGCCCCGAATAGCACGGAGAATTTGCAAGACAATTTTTCGAAAGTACTCGAAGACAATTCCTTTCGAATTCCCACAATATCTTCATAACTTACACAATTCGGGAATCAAGACAAATTTTCATAATTTGGGAATTCAAACGGAATTATCAAACAAATCCTCTCTCCATTTAATTTCTGTTCTAAAAACATACTTGAGGGTTCAGAAAGAATATCTCGAGTAGCACATGGTGCCGCATAAACGTTTATAAAGTATTAAATGCGCTTAAGAAACGTATATATATTTACCACACCCACAGAAAAAATTTCCGGATCCAATGCCATTACACTTGAATGTATCATAAAATAGGACCGACATAGCGCCAATAATATTTATTATAGAGAAAGGAATATATTTTAATCTTAAATGAAAAGTTTTAAAATCTAGAATAAAGTGATAGTATGTGTATCGTCTTTTATCGAAGATCGCGGTGCCAACTTCGTGCGTTGTAAGATGAGAGAAAATTGATTCTAAACGCAAGAATATATAAACTTATATAAGTCACTCTTGTCTCAGTATGGCGAGTCAATCTTTTTTAATTCGATAGCGGATAACAAGAATTCTTGATTTTATTTTGATATTTTCTTATTTTTATACTAAACGAGGTTGTGAAAAATATAAATGCGTCAAGAATATCTTTTGTCTCGGTAACAGAAATCCTTTCTGAGGGTGCACCATGTGCTGCCTGGGATGCTTTTGTCACCAATTCTGTAGCTCTTCTTCAGACGCGAAAGGGTACGCTATAAGAATTCGCAGCGGGGAGAGATTCGTATTGAACAGATTACGCCAATTCATAAAGAGATTAAGGACACGAATTCCTTTTTGAGCTCACAACGCTCGCCCGTGCAACTTGGGTCCTTCCAATCACCGTTTTCGCGAAAAGCCCAGCTCTTGGCGGTTGCGACCTTTTTGTCACTGCAGATGCGATACGATCGAATCCCTTTTTTGCCAGCATCGTCAATGCATACATGCCCTCGTAGCGGAGCACCCCTCGCGTGTCACACGCGAATTTACACATCGGGGGGGGGGGGGCCTGGTATCGTCCGTCGATCTCGTGCAGAGGCGGGCGACGTCCGTCTACTATATGGAAGAAAAAGAAAGTCGAAAATTAACGATCTTTCCACCCTTCTTTTTCTCGATTCGAGAATCCCGACTATCTTATCCGCGTGTAACACGCCGCAATCTCCTTTCGGACATCTCCCACCTTTTTTCCCCAACTGTATCTCATTGACGGACGGCGACTTGACTCGCCAGGGCGACTGTATTTTTTTGGACGACTGTATTTGGGATCATTTTTTACAGATAACCTCGATAAAGACTCACCCAGCCGATAACCCTAGTGCGAGAGCTGGACGAGAGATCAACGAGCAGCGGCACGCTTTTCTCCTATCCACAATTCACATCGGTGGCCGGATCGAACCGAGTCTATATTTAGATTATCAATTGAACCGGATACCAAAAAGTCCGCGGTGTAAATTACGAGCAATCGCCAAAGGAATCCCAGGGGAGCCAAGTTATTGGACTTGTCAGATAGTGCACCTATTACAAGGAAGCCAATAAAGCCATCCGCGAGACTTTTTTAATCTTACGGGTGAATGACAATATACGAAATAAAAATAAAAGCCTGTATGTGTGGAAAATTACATGACAATCTGACGATCCAATGAACGTCCGTCCGCCTACGAGTTGATAAAGTGAAAAGCTTGTCATGGAAGGTCCTTAAATAACTATGTTAATCTATAAACGTCACTTTCTCAGGTCCATTTTAAGATGTTATTTCAGCTACATCCTGTGCGACTATTCAATTATTCTGCGAATCCCCGGGTTATTCCGGGGAAGGAAAAATGTAGCTGCCGTAGCTGAAAACTGCATGTGGCAACTAAATTTCAATTGTAAAATATGGACAGCTAATATTTTGCTATATATATAATTTATTAACTTCAGCTTGCAGCCAAGAAGTGGACTTGGCTTTACAACAGGTTCTTAACTCATCCCTTCTTGCACACTTATTTCCCTCCCCATTTTCGTCCTTACACGTTGTCACTAGTCTTTCTAATTGCTTTATTTACTTAGTTTACTTGTATTTGAAACCAAAATTTTACAATTCTAAACTTACCTTTATTCGACATGAAAGTTTCTTTAGCCTATTTGCACTTACACTCGTATGGATCTTTCACATTCCTTATTTATACCTTAAAATTCGAGTTAAAAAATTATTTCGGTCCCGAAACCAGACGCCGACTTATCTTATCGCGAATCCCTTAAATAGTTCTCACTTGATTTACCGACCAATAGGAGTAAAGCTCTATTTTGGTACGGGCCGTCAGCATTATCGTGGGAAACGTACTGATAGGACCTATTTTTATTTCTGGGTACAGAACACAGTTTTCTAATTAAATATCCTATTCCGAGTTCGTTGACGCTAGCCACTGGTGTACTCACCAAGTACACACGAACCTACGCGAATAAAATGCCGCTATTACGCATTACTGATGCAAACTAAAACGAGAGAGAGAGAGGGAGAGTGGGAGGGAGGGGGGAGAGAGAGAAGATCGTGTGTTGCGCGTGCAACATTATACGTGGACATTAATAGATTATGCACTTTGATTATGTGAAAAATTAACTTTCATACGGCGTTTCTTAGAAATCTTGACCTTATTCTCACCTATGAGATAATAATCGATGAAACTTAACGCGGCTTGAAATTGCAAGGGTTAAGCGGCCTTAGAGAGAAATAATGATGCGCACATTCCATTAATTATAGCACGCTATCGTCCACGAGCGACTCGTAGACAGATACGAAACGTATCATTTGAGGGAAAAGAGAAGGGAAAAAACCAACCAAAAAAGAACCACGAGACGCCAGAAACGGGTAAAAAGAAGTTAATGAAAAATTCTGGGATATCCGGGCCCTATATTCCGGGCTATCCCGCGCAGTTCGATAAAAATACACGCGGGACACGTGAATTTTCTGCGAGTCCCGTCACGTCGGCGATACCTGAAATGACCGGGGGCGATTCATTAGTTCCTTCGTGCATTAGCTCCCTTCACCCCTTCGGTTTTTTCTTCTCCCGTTCCCCTTCCCCGGATCAGGTGCACAAACTAAATATAGCCCGTCGCGACACGGTCGTTTCTCATTTAAGAAAACCAGATTGCATGCTCCGTGGGCGCGAAGTGTCGGGATGCGGCACGCAACACCGTCGGCGATACCTGAGGCTGGGCCGGTGTCCCGTGCCACCGAGACGCACTTCCAATCGTCCCTTCGCGGGACAGGAAAGGGGGGGGGGGAGGGCGACAAGGGGAGTATCGTATTAAATGCAAGGCGATGCTGAAATGCAGGCGTAAACAATTAGTCGCGATATACGCTCGCGGAGCCCGACGAGGAGAGCCGGGCGCGACGCGCAAGTGCATCGAACCGCGACGCGATGCGACGGAGGCGACGAGGCGACGACCGGGCGGCCGGCGCGTCGCGTCTGCGGAAGAACCGCGCCGCGAAAGCCGAGACGCATAACACGAAGTGATAAAAAGTCCGCCCGCGAGAGGAGAGATGTCCCACAATGGTTTCCCCCCTTGGGTGTCTTGCGTAAAATTAACGGCGGCAGCCAGCGACAACAACAACAACAGCACAGCCTCCGGCTACGGCGCGACGGCACGTGCGCGCCGAATACGACGGCGATTACCCCCGCGATCAGCTGTCTGCGCGAGCCGGATATTTCTGAAATCGGAAGCGCCCAGGATCTTATGACGTCGCTCGCTGCATCGTGCGTTTTTTTTTTTGGTTTTCTTTCCCTCATTTTGCATTCAACGCGTAGATCCTACGCAATACGTTGTTCTAATAATAGATGATGACGCAGTTGGCGTGACGTCGCCCGCGCATTGTTTATTACGCGCCCACCCTTCGTGGAGCGCGCGACAGATTGCTATGAATAATGCATCCATTAAATATCACCGGACCATACGAAGGGGTTCATAATCGATGGGACACCCTGCCGAGGGATCAGTGGTGATAGAGACATGGATAGCGATGGTTCGCTGCTGGCGTCCGCCAAGAAGAGGAACAGCCCGCCGATCATCTGGGGCTTCAGCCTCGCCAGGGACTCCTTCAAGACGGTCAAAGTGATCTTGCTGGGCCAGTCGGGAGTCGGCAAATCGGGTGAGTGACGGATAACAGTTTCCTCGGCGAACGATCCGAAGCGGGGTGGATGCGTTCAATTGAAGTTCATTCGTTCTTTCAATTACATGAACGGAGGCTTGCGCAACAGACGCAACTTGCTGTCTGGATTTTTTGGGAATCTTCGAGGGCACTCGTGTGACGCGAGATTTTTTTCCTAGAATTTCTAAGAATTCCGGCGTTTCCGGGAATTCTTCCTGAAATCTCTGGACGTCTCGGTGTTTCCAGGAACTCTGAGGTTTCGGGCTGGCTTTCCTGGGAATTGCGGCGACTTTCCGTGGGAATTTTCCCCGAAATTTCGGAAATTTTGTTAAACTTGGCGAATTTTGTATATTGTATATCATATACAGTTGCCATGGTCACGTAATTCTTGTCCGCTTTAAATATACATATATGACCAAGTCTGTTATAATGTCTGGTCCGAGGGGGAAACCGCTGACCAAAATCTTGTACACCAATGCCCACTAATGCCCAGTGGGCATTACTTTATCTTATTATCTTCTTTTATCTTATTTATCTTGTTTTATCTTCTTTTATCTTATTGTATCTTATTTTATCTTATTTTATCTTTATAATGCCCCAACAAGACGTAATGCCCAGTAATGCCGCAAATCTGTACACCACAATGCCCTCAGCGGTTTCCCCCTCGGTCTGGTCTTAACAGTATAACCCGAGGGGGAACCGCACGGAAACCGCTGAGGGCATCGCGGTGTACAGATTTGCGGCATTACTGGGCATTTTTGGGGCATTTTTTTGGGCATTATAAAGATAAAATAAGATAAAATAAGATAATAAGATTAAGTAATGCCCGCCGGGCATTAGTGGGCATTGGTGTACAAGATTTTGATGAGCGGTTTCCCCCTCGGTACCCAGTGAGAAATGATTCGTCGATCGATGTCAAAACGATGTCGAATCGACATCGATACCGTCAAATTGACGTCGATTCGACATCGTTTCGACATCGATCGACGAATCATTTCTCACTGGGTATAACCATTGCCGGGTCCTATAACTTATATAAAGGACGCGGCAACCATCCGGAAGCCATTACGGGTGAAGAAGACAGCAGCCGCGAAAGCTTGAAAGCCAAGATTATATAAAGGATTTTATGTAATGAATAAAGCGCCATATTGAGAATTTCCCCAATCACGCTTAAATCAAACGGACATGCGAGAAATCCGCTTTAATATTGAATATCTGTTATAAAATAAAGCATTACCTAAGCGAAAATGATTGCGTGCCCGACAGAAGCGATATACAATTTCTAACGATTTTTCCTTGGAATCTTCCTGTGATCAGCGTTAGCCGTGCGGTTCGCCACGAAACGCTTCATAGGCGAGTACGATTGCACGACGGACAGGATCTACCGAGTGGACAATCACTTGGGGTCCTCGTGGGAAATAGCGGATCCTCCCGGATACCCACCGGCCTCCGCCGAGCCGAAATTGCGATGGGCCGACGCGATAATTCTCGTTTATTCGGTAACGGACCGGGTGAGCTTCGACGAGACCTCCCACTTAAGGTACGTTCCCTCTCGCTCCCTCATACCTTTATTGAAAGAGACGAGATAAAAGACACAAATACTTGCGCTCTTACGGTGCATTAAATTTGTTGGAACGCGCCAAGTGCGCGCACTACACGTTGTCGTCGTCGTCGCGTACTTTCAGGTTTTTGGTATCGCACGCGAGAAGAGGCAGAAAGGTGCCACCGGTCGTGTTGCTTGTGGGAAACAAGGCCGATCTCTCCTGCTCGCCGGGTGAGCGCATGGTGTCTGCCCTAGAAGGCCAGAAAAGGGCAAAAGAAATCGAGGCTCACGCTTTCCACGAGATTTCCGTGAGGGAATCGGTTGACCAGGTAACGACCTGCGTGTAAATACCTCGGACCGATTCCATATCGAGCGGAGGATAAAATCGAGCGGCGGAGAAAGAGAGAGAGAGAGAAACGATTCTTTCACGCCTCGGTCAAAATAACAATAATTGGGCTCAGATTATAATATCATATCGTTTGTTTCTTTGATCGTTTAAAAATAGTGCTGATCTGCTGATCTTCACTTTTTCGTTGCCCCGAAAAAAAACCGATTGGATATAAATAAATGCAGAACGCTCGACACGAAAGAAAACACTGCACAGCTCAACCTATCGGGTAATCGCTACGGAGATTATTCTAAACGATTGTTTACGCGGTCATGGCGCTTGCGCGTGATCGCGGAGCCACAAACAAATCTATATCACTCATTCTCAAGGCACGCGATACGAACAGCATTTTAGTGTTTTTATCTACGCAATATAATGACGATGGTACCAATGGATCGACGTATTTCAGTACTCGATAATCGCCGAGTATCGGAGCGATAAATGGTTAACGTAAACAAAACTTCTTCAGAACAATTGAAAAACAAGATATCACTGTTGCGCACCGTAATTTCGTTGATTCAACTTTTACGAGTATGACGAAATATGCGTCGTCTACGACCGTTTCTTTTGTAATTTGTATAAAATGTATTATTTGTTCCACACATTAATGTAACAGTGTTTAATAATAATTTTACCATTGCGATTAGTTCACTTGTATAATATATAAAAATGTTGCAGATGCGCGATGAAATAGCTTGACGTGTGCGAGACGGGATTTAACAGTAGAATTAACGTAGTCTATGATCTTTATGTGAGAGAATACTTACGAGCAATTGCTCTTACATGTATCGTAAACACGCGCCGAAACAAAAAGAGGCACAGAAACATGGGAGTGATAACGTTCATGGCGTCGAAAGAATATTTCTCTCTTAGACGATAATATTGGATCTTTATGTAACGACGGCCGTGACAATTCGCGATTGTTATTCGACAGGTCACGGCCATATTCATGAACATATTGAGATTGCTGACCGAATTGCACAGCAGTCCAGGACAGCAACACGCATCTTTCAGACTGAGAGCCTGCACAGACGGATCCATAGACACTCTCCGTCGGCCGTCACCTCCTCCATTGAGAAGAAGATTTAGCATCTCCGCCCGCGGGAATTTATTGTAATCGCCAGATTGGTCTTGGTAGACTAAATAGTTTTATTCCACGAAACATCGAGAAAGAATGCTGTACAAAAGGATTATATTTTAACTGTTTTAATAAATCCGTATTTGTAAGAAAGCCTGCTCGCGTGCACGTGAATTCACAGCGGTGCGTTTTGAATTCCGTCTCATCCTTGTCAATAATACAGATAGTGCCGGCAGTCTTGGAATATTTTTCACAAAGAGGCTCGTGGTGTAATTGCAAAATCGATAATCGTACTGCGTAGCTTGTGGATATGTTCGATCTAGCCGTGTTTTATCGCGAGCGCAAGAGCTTTTGGATTCTCGTCTTGTATCGCCGCTCTACAACGAGCTACCGCGTTCGAGGCAGCTTTCCCAACTGCAACAATACGTGTAACTGCAACGACAATGTAAAAAGGAGCAGTGGTTCTACGATGAAGAAATGCCTCACCTCTGAGCCTCGCCGCACGTTGCACCCCGATGTTCAGTTCTTTCAAGCTGGCCGCGAGCTCCCGATGACTGTTGACCCGAATCTCGTGCTCCCGAATCAAATCACCATTGATGTTCTTCAACTGCATCAGTCTCCTTCGCATATCGTCGATATTCTCGAGGATCCTAGCGTCTTCTAGGCGAATCACGATACTCTTCAGAAGGGTGGCACCACCCGCGGCTTCCGCCTGGAGCCGCGCGTCGACTTCCTTCAAGCCTAAGGGACATTTCGATATAGATCAAGGCACGTAGGATGCAGCAGCACCTCTCGCTCGGAGAAGAACCGACTGCCGGCGGAAATCACCGCGTCTTTCCCGACGACGTACCCTTGACGCGCTCCAACGCGTCCAACATCCTCTTCTCCTCCGCGGGGAACGTGGCTTCCGAGGTCAGTTCTCTGACGCCTAAGTACATAGAGAGAGACTGAACGATGTCACCGGCAAACGTCGCATCGTCCGTCTGGATCATCACTTTGCCACCGGCGTTCGACTTGAAGCAGTGCGCCTTTTCGTCTCGCATCCCACGAAGCCATACCTCGATACACCCGGCATTCGGGCCGCTCTCCGCCACCTCCAGCTCCTCCCCCAAAATGAGGCTCTGGTTCAGCCAGATGGCGATCCGCTGTGGTCTCTCCGCGACCTACGGGAATCGTGCGTATTCGCGTTAACGTTAGCTCTTGAAACGCTTTAAAAGCGCTACTCACGTCCGTCACGACGCCGTTGCTCGACAATTCTTCCGGGACTTGTTGCGGCTTCGGGATGCGCTCGTACATGCAAAATCTTGGCAACTGCCGCGTTATTTCGAAGACCTATCGGAACGTTAGAAGTGTATCAAGATTTCAATCTGACACGATTATGTCGCATAATTGCAGCAAATGTCGAGACCTGCAACAGTTCGGCACCAGGCGGCCCGACGTATACTTTAACGTGAATGTCCACGGGATCGTTCTTGGCGGGATAAAGCGCGATCTCTAGCTCCCCTTGCGGCCGATTGGGATGCGTGACCAGCGTCTCGCCCTCGAAAACACCCTCGGCGAAGACTATGGCGCAATGCACCTAGATGTTACATTTAATCGTGAGATCAAAGTTAAGCGACGTTGACGAAAACCGAAGCAAGGGGACAGTTAGAAAGTGACAAAAGACGAATTAAACTAAGGTCAAAGGTAAACGACGTTGGTGAAAACAGGCATTACTGTCTTTAAGATGCATCTCTTAGGCCTGGTTTCACCAACGTCGCTTAACTTTAAGCTTAGCTTAATTCGTTCTTCGTCTTTTTCCAACTGTTACTCTAGAAAGAGACAAATATAAATTAAACTACGATTAAAGGTAAGCGACGCTTTGGTGAAACAGGACCTTAGACACTTGGATATTACCAGAAGCCCGGGTCCGGCGGCGAGCGCTACGCGAGCTGCGCCCCTGTTCGTCAACAGGCTGATGGCCAATCTCGAGCCGTAGTACATGCTAGAACCCGTCGCAGCCCTCTGTCGCAGTTCCATCTGAAGCGCCTGCTTTTTCGCCAATAATTCACGAATGATCTCGCCGGGTTCTGGCGCCTGCATGGCAGAGCCAGCGCTATATCCGCGTACTAGAAAAAAGCGCGAGAGTGAATGAGAATCGCAGTCGTCCAGGGAAAGGAGGACGAGTTTCAAGCTCATACCCTCGCCATTAGTAGAAACCACCACCAAATCGGGTTTACCCGTTCTTCGGTAATCAGCCTCCACTATGCCCGCCACGCCGGATGGCAGCTGAATCTTAAACATGACCTCGCCGGTGCTGTACGTTCTCGCGTCCACTTTTCCGCTGCTCCAACCGGTGATCAGTTCCGGCACGCCATCGCCGTTTATATCGAAAGTGTCTACGGATATCACCTTGTGCTTGGACTGAAATGGATTTCGCAAACCCAATCGGGCTGTTTTAATGCGCGCAATTATCCAGGAAACAACCAACAGTTACGTAACAGCAACATTACAATTTCCTACTCGAACACCGTAACCGTTTGCAACATGTGTTACATTGTTGAGTGAAATCATATCGATGTTATGTGACTAATTGGTATTTACTAGGTGCGATGTAAATTTTCCCCTACGCATTTTACCTTAACCCGCCATAGTCTCTGTCCCGCCTCGTAGACACCAATCGTTCCGTTTTCGAGAGCATAAGCGAACTGCCTGCTCGGGAGGTCGTTGAGAACGACAATCGCCGCCGTTTCCTTCGTTTCCCAAAGCATGCTGTCTTCCTTCTGCACCCTAATTTCATAATCCGTTGTACCCGTCAGTAACTAAAAAATTCAGTAATTTGTATATGAAAAACGGCAAATTTTAACGGACGTGCAACAAAGACGATACAGGGTGAGATTTTTAATCCCGCCGCTTCGAGCGGCGAGCCTAAATTTCGAAACGGGAAGAAAATTTGCGAATAACTGGCATCAAGTTGGATCGCTGGGAGTAGGTGTTCTGAAGACTCGCCCTGTACTCACTTCGTTCTCTCCATCCCCGTCAAAATCGAACACCGCCAGCGAGGTGACGATCCCTCCCAATACCATCCAAAATATTTCCGTTCCGTGCGCATCCAAGATCGTGACCGAGCAGTTACCGCCTACGACTGCGACGTGGCTCGGCAACCATCCGACTTTCGCGACGATCATGCAATTCGCGCCGTCCGACATCTGAAGAATCGGTACCGTAAGCCAAAGGGAACCCGCCAACTCGCGCGACTACAATCAATACCTCCTTGTAGAAAACGTCAGCGTTATCCTCGACATGATAAGCGAGCACGTGGGAGATGGTGCCGATCAAAAGGATGTCCCTCTCGTCCTCCCCGAGGCGGCCGGTGCACAACGACTTGACCTAGATAATACGAATCTCCGTGCACAAGGAGGGCGCGAAATAAAAACGCAGGATGGTGCGAAATTTTATTTAATGCGTGAGGCAATCTACGACATTTGAACCGCGGCGCATGCGGACCTCGGTACCAATTTGGAGCTCCGCGAGTTCCCCGCTCCATGACAATCTCTTGTTCGACTGCTTGTGATCGGAGTAATCGACCTGCGGCTGCCTGTGCGGGCTGTGCACCAAAATGGTCCCGCCGGGCGTGGCGGCCGCGAGGCACGCGTGCGACCCGTCGAATTTTCCACTCACGACGAGGCCCGGCTTCACGTGCTTCTGAATGTTTAAGGAGAACTCTGCCATTCCGAGGTAGCGTTACATCGTCGCGGTGCGTCCACGCCGGTGTTGTGCCTTTGCCATTGGCACGGTGACGGAATATCGATTTTACAGCAGACCTTACTCTATCGCTCGTAGATGTCACAGCTGTGCCGTACAATACGCTATCATTCCGTCGCACTTAGAATAACGCAGTCACAATATATCCAACTTACTGATCGTATTTATTTCAGCAGAAATGTAATTTTATGTATACCTTAAGTATTTATAATTATCTTTAATATTATCTGTCACTTATGAAATTATACTATAAATTTGAACAACTTCCACAAGATCGCTCTTTGGGATGCAGTGCTCACGCAGGCACAACATTGTTTTCATCGCGCGGGATCACTGTCTCTGCGCGCTCCCGCCAGCTTCTGGATTCGTCGCGGATGACAGCAGCAGGAAAATCAAGAAAGGAACGATATACATCCACTGCAACAAGAGCAAACGGGTTGAACGTCGAACAAAACTCTTGCATACGGATGTACGCGCAAGCAAAAATGACGCTCTTACATATTTCGCGAGGAACGAACGATTATCTTTAGTTTCTCCCCTCTCCCTCGCTTCCCGTTCTCGGTCCAGCTTCTGGATATACGTAGCGGTGTCTGGGATCGGACCGCCGTCCGGGTATCTGACCAAGACATTGGTGGTCCACATGTTTGTGGACCACAAGGGATTATCTAGCTTACAGGGGCCCGACGACGAGATGCTCACAGCTATCGGCTCCGCTGTACTGTCTAACCATATCGTCACGACGTCTTCCAGATCTGAGCCGAGCAGGTAGCACTAGAAAAAAGAAAACCGGTCAGCACGCTCGCACGCGACGCAACACACAATATACCGTCGAGCAAAGTGCTACGTATGTAAACTGTGATACAACTACAGTTACTACTAGTATTCACGGTTCGTTCTTACACTTTAAGATCGTCTCGAGTACAATCTTGAGCTACCATAAATCAGTCACCGAGCCTCATTAACATCTACAGACATTGAGACGATCTTAAAACGAAAACCGGCCACGACTACCGGCCTAAATTGTCTCGGACGAGCGGTAGGTTCGAGTCTTGGGGACTTGTCGGTAGAACGTGGACGATTCACGGGGACGTATTCGCGGGACGCTCACCGCTGGCACCGAGGTGAGGAACACGACCTCACCGCCGGAAGAGGTGCGGGCCAGCGCCTTCAGCCTGTACTTGCCGTCGTGCTCGGCGAGGTTCTCGAGGGCGCCTATCTCGGCCGGCAGCAGGCCCTTCTGCCCGACGACGGAGGCGCCGCTGCGCACGCTGGACACCGTGACGTTGCCCCGCTCCGTGAACACGGGCACCGGATCGTCGTTGAACGCGTGCCATAACCTCAACTGCAGCCAGCCGTCGTACTCGAGCTCGCTCTGCAAGATATAACCTCGCGTCAGACGGCGAACGCGCGGTCGAGGACCCGCCGCCGGCGCTTGCCAGGAGGCGCCGCGGCCTCCCACTTACCCCGTAGACGAGCGAGGACGCGCAGAGCAGCGCACCGATGACGACGTGCAACGCGTGCATCTTTGCGGCGCGACTCGGCGCTGCTCGCGCACGCACCGAGGATAATTACCAAGTCGCCGACGCAGAGCCACGTATCATTGTGCGACGTCGATTTCTAGGATCGCGGCCACGGCCGACGCCGAATCGTAGGCCCCGCGGAACCACGTCGCCAGCGACGCCACTGACGGACGGACTGTCAGCGGGGAAGCGACGGTGTTACGGCGCCACGCGAAGGTTAAACGTGGCCCGCGCTGGCCGGTGTCGATAAGATTGACGGGAGATTATGTTCGGCTGCGCGGATCCCGCGCGCGTCCCTCGCGTTTGGCGATGACGAATTCGTATCTCGGGAAGACGAGGATTGCGAGGAAGTGCAGTTGAAAATGAAAAAGGGAAAATGTAAAAAATATCCGCGACGAGGTATCAAGCGTCTTATGCCCGTTCTCAGGGAGAAACGATTCGCCGAAACGATGCCGAATTAACATCGACACCGTCAGATTGATGTCGATTCGACATCAGCTACGTTCGGCATTGCACAGCTGAGGCTCCGATTGTTGAAAATTTGTGTGTGTGTAAATTTCGTGTATGCTACAATGCACAAAAATTTTCAATAATTGGAGCACTATTGCAATTCCCGAGACCAAATCAGGTAAAAAAACGTCCTGTCCTACTTTTCCCTCCGACAAAGTTGTCGAGATATCATAAGCTAAACGTTGAAAAAGTTATAAGTTTTTCTCTTGAATATCTCAAACAGTATTAGCCAAATGAAAAAAAATGTTTCGGACAAAAGTTGTTCATATTAATTAGTAGAATAAGACAGTGTAATAAACAATAGGGGGTCCCGTTAAAAAAATTGAAGGTGACCTTCACGTGACCTTCAAGCAACTATTCAAGGTCAAATTAACGACACCATCTTACGTCCCCCTCGAAGCCATACGACTTTTGCCTGAAGCATTTTTCGCTACGCCCGCTCCCTGCAAAGTTACGAGGGGTGTTCGATTAAAACGGGACACCCTGTATATGGTGTGATCACAGGTTTCACTGTCTTTTGCACAAAATAAGTATATTACACAATAAGCAATGTGTAATACATGAACTCGATGAATAATAAAAAATTATTCCGAACGAATATTCCAAAGACATTCTCGACGAATATTCTTTGTTATGAATATACGATTTCTAATTGTAATAATATATATATTTATTTATTTATAGAATATTCAATTGGAATATTCTGAATCTAAGAATATTAGCACTCCAGAAGAATATTCATAGAACTATGGCTGCGGTCAAGCTGTCGCTTCGAATGTTACGAAGCATTCGTCTTCTCTTTTCTTTCAGTAAAAACAGAAAGAGAGGAGAAACGCTTCGAAGCGTTTGCAGCGGCAGCTTGACCGCAGCCTATGTGTGCTATCTGGAGTATTCTTCTTCTCCTTTCTTCCGGTGAGGATAGAAAGAGAGGAGAGCCGCTTCGAAGCGTTCGTAGCGGTAGCTTGACCGCATAGTTATCTATTTATTAAAAACTATAATAGCCTCGACATTTTTACGACGTCGAACGATGAGTCATTTCATTCCCACTGGGTAAGGATCTTCGTCTTAGAGTCAACGAAAGAAATATCGAACTTTCCGGAACACCCTGTATACATAGGATGTTACGTAACGATTATGTAAACTGAAAGAGTGTACGTCTGATCAAAGTAGAAAATGTCCGATAAAGGGTCCAATTTGAAATGGTTACCCAGTAAACACTAATTAACAATGATAGTTATATAATATCAATAATTATAATTTCCCGTCCAACAATATAACGCGTGCTGTGGTAGAAAGTTACGACATTGATGCCCATGTTAATTGGCGTTTACCGAGAAACTTATCAATGAAATTCTTTACCAACGAAAATTCGGATTAGCTCGATTCTCGGAGGTTAAGAAAAGTAACAGAAATTGCGAGACTATCCCTGCTTCAAGTATTAGGTGGAACATGATCAGATTACATGCAATTTCAATGTAACTAAATAAGAGTCTTATTAATTTACGTCCAATGCAATCTGATCATATTCTATTATTTTATTAAACAGGAATACAGTCGAAAACGGCGAACGTTTTATTATCGGGGATTAGGAGACGAACGAGCGCTTTTTGAAATTAGGACCAATCAATATAATTATTATATTAATGGTTGATTTATAACGGTACAACATTGTGTGCGGTTACAATTTGTAGAGCCTAAGAAATACGATATATCTGAAAAAGTTAACTGCTAGATAATTGCACGAGTAAATTGATTATTTCTGCGCCGTACGGCGATTAAGATCGCACTAACTATACGTGTCCCCCCCTCCGCGATCGGAGTGCAGATGCGAACAACGATATACATGAGCATCCGCGCCCCCTCGCCTTTCTATTCACACAAAAATTTACTTTCTCAACATTTCTTATCGCGATTATTCTTACCGAATCAACGCCACGTTCGCGAGATATTCGTCTACAGTCCCCTATATAACGTAACTGTTCTTTATTTTATATTTTCCTTAGCAAGTCTCTCAGACGCGACGCCGTTCGTCTCAATCCTTCAACTCCTTGTCGTAGATAAAGACACCGAGGCCTTCCCCGACTCGCTCCAGATTCGTCACGTGATCGGCGATCTCCTTTATCGCGTCCACCTGCTCCTGCAGGAACTCGGTCTCCAGGAAATCCATGAAGTTCGCGTCGTTGTGCGTCGAGGCGATCCCGTGCAGCTCCAGCAGCTTCTGCAAAAGTCGATATAAATTATTTATAAAAAAAATTAATTTTCGCGATCTCGTGTCGAATTAGCCGCAAGGCCGAACGCGCGCGTGTCGCTCGAGCGTGAGGCGAAGAAAAAAAAACCGGCTGGAGGAACTGGGATTTGAACCCAGGACTTTCCGCATGCGAAGCGGACACTCTACCACTGAGTTACACCCCCGATCGCTGAGATGCCATGTAGAATCGCGGTACTTCCACGAACGAGCGTGTTTAGCGAAAGAATTACACCACTTGCGATAATTGAATTAACGAACTACGCGAGAAACCGCGAAACTCTATTAGCGAAACGCGCCAAATTGAACTTTATTGTCAGTCACCGATCCGTCCGCACTTTGGATTTCATAAATTTCGCTAAAATTTATTTTGCGCTAACACCCAGTAATAATTTAACAATTTTAACAACAATGTTATCAAGTGCTTAACAATAACGCTGGACGTTAAACCATAAATTTTATTGTAAAATTACAACAACAATTACCACCGTGATCTCGACGTTTTTGTCAACCTGAGATGACGAAGGGGGGAGATTATTTAAATTAATTGGATTCATTATCGCCGCGAGTAGGTTCAGATGTCCCTTTTCTTTACGTTGCTACGCTATTCCCGGCGGAATCGATTGTGCGCGCGCGCGCGCGCGCGCAACGACACACACATACGCACCTGATTAACTTTCTTCTCCAGCTGCAGGGCCTCCGTCATCGCGTCCTTCGCGCTGTTCCAGTTCCTCCTGGACGGCGCCTGGATGTCCGTCAGCACGACGTCGCCGCCCCGCTTGTTCTGATAAGTCAGGAACTTCATGGCGTGCTCGCGTTCCTCGTCCGACGCCTTCTTGAAGTACTTGTACAGGCCCGGTAGCGCGACGTCGCTCCTGTCGAAGTAGTACGCCTGCAACGATCAAACGCGTGCGGAAGGACGTACGCATCGCGGGACAGCGGGGTAAATTCCGACCCCAGTCAGAAATGACTCGAAAACCGACGTCGAAACAATATCGATCGATGCATTTTTGGATGCATTTTCGAGCCAAGTCGAAAATGGAACCAAAAATGCATCGATTCGATATTGTTTCGACGTCGGTTCTCGAGTCATTTCTGACTGGGACGGGACTGGGATTTAACGTGACCCGTCGATCTCCACCGGAACGGCGAGGGACCCGCGATTGTTCGGTAGACGGTGGAGAATCCCCCCTGGTCCCCCTGGTAGCGCAACACAATTGACGCAATATCGGGAAAGAATGTACAATTTAATTGCGCCCTGCCCTAGTAGCACAGTGCATTGACCAAACGTTGGTTAAACATTGGCCCGATATTTGGTTGCGTTGGGCCAATGTTTCCTAGCGGAAAACATTTCTACAAATAACTACAAAAATTTGACTTGAAACAGAAACTTGTGGAAATTTTTATATCTTCGTTGAAACATTTAGATTCTTGTAAAAATATCGACGAGAAAGTACCACAAATTACAGTGTTCTCTAATCAAGAAATTATTGCAAGTAGTATTTCATGAAAATGTACAATATTGTAAAAATTGGTACAGAGCTTTACTAGTTTTAAAAAATTTGAGAAACGACAAAATCTTAAAGAATTTAAACGTCTGCTTACTTTTGTAGAATATTACAAAAATTAACAAAAGTGTTCCAACTCTAGCATTTTCATGTTGATTTTTTTATAACACTTTTTAAATTTACGTCGAATTTCTTAGATTCTGGCAGTATATTTTATTTTTTTGCAGAATTTTGTAGAATTATTTCCTGAAAGGCACCATGCTCGCCACAAAATGTTTTTTCTATTTTATCTATTATAATAGTCTAGCTAATGTCTAGCCAATGATAAATAGAGAAATAAGTGTAGACAAACCACTTGAATGTTGCGTCATAGTTAAATAGCTTACGAAAGAAATTGATCGATAAACCTCTTGGTACGAGTCTACGAGTATTAAACAATAAAAGGGGTACCGAGACGATGACGTTATTATCAAAGAACCACAGTAGAAACAGATTTTCGACCCGCCTGTGCGCGGATATCTGTCAGAATCTCATCAATCGACTTGCAGTCAGGGCCGGATTAAGGGGGGGGGGGCTAAGGGGGGCTATAGCCCCGGGCCTCACTTATTAGGGGGCCTCACCCGAGCGAGCACTATTCAAGAATACTTTTTAAACGCTAATG